TTACAATTATCATAATTGTGGCATTATTTCTCATAACTACAACTTTATATCTCACAGTGTGGATATGCTGTACCTTACGATAATCACTATTTTATAATTACAAATTTTATATCTCATAGTTGTACTAAATTGTGACTATTTCTCATAGTTGTGACTATATCTCATAATTATAACTTTCTATTATTGCAGCTATTTCTCACAATTTGACTTTATTTTTCACAATTATGATTTTGTTTATGCAAATGCAACGTTATTTCTCATAACTGTCAATTTATCTCACGATTGCATGCATATTTCTTGTGCAATTATAATTGTGACTTTATATCTCACAGCATGAATATATTTCACAATAATTACTTTTTTTCTCACAATTACAAATTTTATATCTCACAATTTTACTATTTATTATAAAATTACAACTGTTTCTCATAATTGTGACTTTACATCTCATAATTACAACCTGATGTTTTATTATTGCAGCTTTACACAATGTGACTTTACACCTCGCAATTGCAACTTTGTTTTTTGTAAGTGTGCACTCTAAAAAATGCTGGGTTAAATATAACCCAGCGCTGGGTTAAAAAGGGACAAACCCAGCTATTGGGTTGTTTTGACCCAGCGGTTGGGATGTTTTGAACCTAACCGCTGGGTCAAAACAACCCAATAGCTGGGTTGTCCCTTTTTAACCCAGCATTTTTTAGAGTGTGACTATTTCCTATACGTGTGAATATATCTCACAGTTGCAACTTAATTTCTATTCTAATATTTTTATTATTGTTACTGTTTCTCATTCACTTCATTTTTCACAATTTGACTATATGTGACTGCTTATTTTATACTTCATCTTGCAACCGGTTTTCATAACTCTTTTCACACACACAAAAAAGTAAGTACTTTACTTTTTAAAAATAGTATTCAAAATATTTTACTCTACGTAAATATACATGCATTGTCTTGTTAACTATAATATAGATTTTCAACGTGTTTCACTGTAGTTTTACTTTTTTCCGTTAAAATTTAAAAATAATTCTCCTCAGTAGTTAGCTTTCTTACTAATGCACAGACAGTTCACATGTGCACAATCTGCTGTCGGCACGACTGCTAAAGCCACACTAAAGCACTGCTGGAGCAAGCTTACGGTGACAAGGCCGGATTAGCCGGTCCTCCTGATGCTTCACAAACATGCATTTGTGATTAGCACAGAAAACATCTTGCATGCAAATGGCACACTTGAGTTCTCACTTTCCCCTTAAATTATGTTACGTTTAGAGACTAACCATTATTAGTAGTACATATTTGTTAGTGTTTTAATTTTCTTTAGCATTTGTACACCACCTTTTGCTCAAGTAGAGAGCAAGAAGAAAATGCAAATGGAATGTCTACCAATACTAAATGAATAAGATATTATTAGAGGATTCTGGTTTGATTCTATAAGAGATAGTTGCAAATTATATATGGATAGAAATGCCATTAGCATTCCTTTGGGATTTTTGAGAGATGCTCTGTGTGCGTGTCCTCGCTAATACACACACATGTGGAGGCCGCAGGTCTCAGGTCACCGCTGGGCTATGAGGTGCTTGCTGTACTGAGAGAACAGCCTGTGTTTATTCAAACTTATTTATTGGGCTAGGCCTGCAGTAAAACACTATCAGAGTCTGGAATGATATCCTCACCTCACATGCTCCTACTAAATGCCCCTCTGTGGAAAGAAGAAGGGAATGTACTCTGCCTTCAACTTAAGGCAAGCGAACGAAATAGCAGGAACCAGGTTTGAAAGGCAGTGGAGGAGTCAACCAATCAGTCTCATCCTCTTATTATAAAGAAGTATTTATATTCATTTTCTTAAAGGGACAGTTCACCCATAAATGAAAATTGGCATCATTTACTCAGCCTGAAGTTGTTCCAAACCTGTATGAGTTTCTTTCTTCAGTTGAGCACAAAAGATGACATTTTGAAGAATGTTGGTAACCAAACAATTGTGGTCCCCATTGACTTCCAAAGTATGAAAAAATATATATTATGGAAGTCAATGGCTACTAGCAATTGTTTGGTTACCAACAGTCTTCAAAATATCATCTTTTGTGCTCAACAGAATAAAGAAAATGATACAGGTTTGGAACAACATGAAGGTGAATAAATGATGACAGAATTTTCATTTGGCAGCATGTAATCCCATATTTTGGAATTTTATAACATTGGAACGATTACGTTTTCAAAAATATCTCATTTTAACTGAATTGTTTTGGACAATGTCTTTTAACAGTGTGGAAGACATATATTTAAAAAAAAATAATAATAAATTTAAAAAAAAGACCAAAAGACAAGGATGTTTTATACTCCATGTTGGAAGACCAGGAAAATAAATACACTTTTGTTTCATTGAAAAACTATTTACACAGTAGAAAGCACAAGTATCATATAGAAGTGTGTACATGTGAGCATGTATATGTGTGCATACATATGTTGGTGTTTGTGTAAGAGATATGTTATTTGAGGAAATTTCCTTTCACTCTTTTGCCATACTTAAAACATTATTTGTTGTACATATATATAATTTCGCACATTGTCCATGGTAAACAAAATCCTGGAATTGGCCTGAGATCTTCATATGGTTTCGCTGGGAACAGTGTGAGTCTAAACAAAAGTACTTTACTTACGGTAGACGGTAGTTTTATGTTAGTCAAATTGTAAGAATGACAGTCCGACTCTGTGATGTGCATGATTAAAATCAAAAATTTTAAAATCTGTCACAGCTTGTGTTTCAGTCAGGACCACTTCGTCAAAGTATATTTATTACAATTATATAGCATACAGTTAGTGTTTTTGAAAGATTTTTCTTATGCTCACCAAGACAGCATTAACAACCCCAAATTTGTAAATAAAATCAAGAATCTGTGATTTCTTAAAGGGAACCCCGGGTATTAAGACTTAATATGAAGTAAATGATGTCTCTTATTGAAATATGTAGTAGAAAACCCATGAAAGATTTACATTATTTTTAAAAATCCACATCATTTTATACATATTTTGAACTATGGGGAGCGTCATTATTTCAATGATGTCAAATGGTTTTCGACTACATATTTCAGTAAGAGACATGTGAGACATAAATGTATTTTGTAAATATAAACAAATTTTGATTTTGATGGCTGCAGCACACTAAACAAAAAAGTTGGGACAGAGGTGAAATAAAAGTGAAAAGGTTATAGAATATCCAAAGTAAACTGTTTTGGAGCAGTTCACAGTAAGCAGGTGAATTGGTAATAGCTGAGGGTATCATGTTTGGGTATAAAAGGAGCATCTCAGTCTTTGAAAGTAAAGCTGGATCATGGCTCATCACTTTGTGCTAAATTTCATGAGACAAGTCTCAAACAAATCAAAAATCACATTTCTCAATGCAAAATCTCAAAGAATTTAGGTCTTTCACCAATTACCATACATAATATTGTGAAAAGTTTTAAGGAATCCAGAGAAATCTCAGTCTGTGTAGGGCAAGGCAGGAAATCTCAGTTAAATGTGCATGACCTTTGAGTCCTCAGATGGCATTGCATAAGAAACCTTCATGCTGTAGTGTTAAATATAGCCACATGGGCTCAGGAGTACTTCAGTAAACTGCTGTAACTGAACACAGTCTGCCGCTGCATCAGTAAATGCAACGTGAATCTCTTTTACTCTAGGAGAAAGCTAAACATCAGTTCTATGCAGTGATGCTGCGGGGTTCACTGGGCCAGAGCTCATCTCAGATAGTCAACAAGACAGTGTAAATGTGTGCTGTGCTCAGATGAGTTCACATTTCAACTTGTTTCTAGGAAAAACTGACGTCGAGTTCTCAGTGTGCTAGATCAGTCCAGATCTGTCTCCTATTGAAAATGTATGACCGGTCATGAAAAGGAGAATCAGACAACGACAATCACAGACTGCTGAGTATCTGAAGTCTTGTATCAAGAGAGATTGGACAAAGATTTTGATTGCAAAACTTTAACAGTTAGTATCCTCAACCCAAGCAATTAAACACTGTAAATAAAAGGAAAGTTGATGTGACAAAGTGTTAAATTTGCCTCTGTCCCAACTTTTTTGGAGTGTGTTGCAGCCATCAAAATCAAAATGTGTTTATATTTACAAAATAAAAAAAGTTGGTCAGTGAAAACATTGGATTTTTTTTTTCTTTGTACTTTAGTCAATTAAATAAAGGTTGAAGAGAATGAACAAATAACAAATTCTTGATTTTCTGGCATTTCACAAAACGTCCCAACTTTTCTGGAATTGGGGTTGTATTAGATTGAAAAAAACGTAGTATTGTAAAATATTATTTCAATTTAAAATAACTATTTTCTAAGTGAATATATTGTAAAATGTCATTTGGTGATGCAAAGCTGAATTTTCAGTCACATGATCCTTCAGAAATAATTCTAATATGCTGATTTGCTGCTCAAGAAATATTTCTTATTATCAGTGTTGAAAACAGTTGAGCTGCTTAATATTGTTGTGGAAACTGTGAGACATTTTTCAGGATTCTTTGATGAATGCAAAGTTCAAACAGCATTTGAGTTTGATTTTTTTTTTTTTATATTATAAATGCCTTTACTGTCACTTTTGATCAATTTAATGAATCCTTGCTAAATAAAAGTATTAATTTTTTTGATTTGACAAGTTATGTGATTTTTGATTAAACTGATATTGCTGTTGCAAGAAATGTGTGACTTTTATAATGTATAGGTGTTAATACACATTATATAATTCATTATAAATGCCTTTATTGTCACTTTTGATTAATTAATAATGCACCTTGCTAAATAAAAGTATTAATTGATTTCCCAAAATAAAATAAAATATATTTAAAAAATAAAATAAACGATAGAACCCAAATAATTGAATGGTAGTGTATATTTGATTAAAAGAAAGCAAGATACAGCTTTAGAAATATGGTATTTATGATTGGCAGCTGTGGTAAAAAGTACATTTTGGAGCCAGGTTAGATGTGTAGATGGTGAAGGTCTTACCAATGTCTGTACGATGGCATGGTTTGTGGCGTTCATGTAGGAATTGAGAGGAAAGGCACATTCTCCCATACAGTAATATGCAGCGTATCCTTCAGGAGCTATAATCCAATCCTGAAAGATGGACAGAGCACAAATCTGTTAACACGACATCCACCTTCAGTCATAAAGCCTGAGCTAGATCTTTCCCAACCAGATGGTCTTCATTTTTGTAAAGCATTCTGTACGTCAGATCACTCCAATTGTGAACCAAAATATCACAATAATGCGTAATCGTATTCCGCACTCGTGTTAAAGTATGTGTAAAATGTTATGATTCAAAAGGGAATTTGGGGGGAATATAAACCCACATGCTAGAGCCAGGGTCTCTGAGTCCTCGCCAGCTGCTCTGAGTGAGTGTTTAAGTGCCATGATCCAGCAGGAGAGACAGATATGCTACAGGTGGCAAGACTATCTGTGTGTAAACAGAAACGAGGCTCTCCTATCTCTGCTTGCCTGCTGGTGCTCGTGATCTTGAGGTAATGCAGCCTAATGGAGCGACTGACTTGAGCTACGCAGACTCATAAAATGGTCTGAGCCATAAACACAGTGAGGGATAAAGTGGAATGTCGTGTGAGAAGGAAAAAGAACAGAGCTGAGAGAGGAAACCTAGTGAAAAAAATCAGGTTAAACCCATCAAGCTGGTTTTTGGAATATTTTAGCTGGTTTGTTGCTGGTTCTAGGCTGGTGGTCTATCTTATCCTAAGCAGGGGTGCGTTTCCCAAAAGCATTGCTAGCCAACTGTGGTCACAAGTTCCGTTGTTACCAACATAGTTCAACGATTTGGTGTTTCCCGAAACCATAGTTCAAACGAACACTCGCAAACAGCATCTCAAACTTAGCGTGGTTGGAACTACCACTCTCGATCTGTGGTTAGAAGCATAGTTTCTTGTTAGTAAGACATATGGACTTAAATAAATTATGCTCTTGGGCACAATAAGCAAGCTAATATGCAGTACAATCTATCTCTTCCATTCTATTTAAATATATATACATTTTAATCGATACATTTGAACGCGTCCTCAATAAACGCCGTTTTCGAAGAGTGCACATGTGCATAACAGTAAATACAGTAAATACATTACAGTATTACACAAGAATTCTATTTCAATTAAATGCGTTAATGGTTCTTTAAACTTATCTGTTCATCAAAGAATCATGAAAAATAAAATGTATAATGGTTTCCCAAAAAATATTAAGCAGCACAACTGTTTTCAAAATTGATCATAATAAATGTTTCTTGAGCAGTGAATCAGCATATTAGAATGATTTCTGAAGGATCGACACTGAAGACTGGAGTAATGATGCTGAATATTCAGCTTTATCATCACAGAAATAAATGATATTTTAAAATATATTACAATAGAAAAGTTATTTTAAATTCTAATAATATTTCACAATATTACTGTTTTTACTGTATTTTTTCAACATCAAATAAATGTAGCCTTTGTAAGCAGAAGAGACTTTTTTTTCAAAAACATGAACAAATATTACCGACCCCAACATTTTTGAATGGTAGTCTATATGTTTGCCCTTTGAATGATTTTCTGACAATTACAAATGGCAATTACAAAAAAAGAGGGTCTGAAGAGAGAAATGAAGGGGTGAGGAATAACACACCTGCCATCCAAGGTCTCGAAAACTAACATACAACTCATGTTTCTTACAGGCCTGCTTCTGATCCGCACTGCTGTTCTCTGAAAACAAAGAGAGAGAGAGGATTACTGAAGAGTAAAGAAACCTTTTACAGAATTTTATAATGTATTTTAATAATGATAATATTATCAAATAAAACTCAATTAAATCAAAAGTTTGCATGATTAGGTCTATGTCTGTTAGTCAAACAGCTGAAAGTATTTCAAATATGGACACTGTCTGAGTTAAAATGTGTGAAGGGGTGCTGAAGCTAACGTTAAACTGTGAGAGACATGGAGAAATATGAGGTATAGGTCACTGAAGTCGTCTGGAATACTTATAACCCTCATACCTATGCAGAACATCGACCCAGATTCATTTAATATCCATTTAACACTGTAATGCTAACTGATAACCTGCAGAGAATCACACAGTAATAGGAAACACATGAACACACACACAATTCAGCTCTGCTTCTCCTTTGTCTTAAAGGGATAGTTCAGCTTAAAATGAAAATTCATATGTGACCCTGGACCACAAAACCAGTCATAAGGGCATATAAAAGCTGAATAAATAAGCTTTCCATTGATGTATGGTTTGTTAGGATAGGACAATATTTGGCTATCGAGATACAACTATTTGAAAATATGGAAACTGAGGGTGCAAAAAAAAACAAAATATTGAGAAAATCGCCTTTAAAGTTGTCCAAATGAAGTTCTTAGCAATGCATATTACTAATCAAAAATTAAGTTTTAATATATTTACAGTAGGAAATTTACAAAATATCTTCATGGAACATGATCTTTACTTAATATCCTAATGATTTTTGGCATAAAAGAAAAATCTATAATTTTGACCCATACAATGTGTTTTTGGCTATTGCTACAAATATCCCCCAGCGACTTAAGACTGGTTTTGTGGTCCAGGGTCACATATCATGTTGAAACCAAACCTGCACGCTGTTATTTTTGACAAGTTTCTCATAAAAAGCTTTCATAAGGCTTCAGAAGACTGTTTAATTGTCTTTTTTGGAGCGTGAGCTGTGAAGATTATTAAAAATTTCAGATTCTGTGTTTTAATTCCATGGAAAATTTGTCAGCACACAGGTTTAAAATGACATGAGGGGGAGTAAACGCTGACAGAATTTACGTTTTTGGGTGGACCATCCTTACCTTTTTGGTTAGTGAATAAATAATTTATTGATAAAATAGTCTGTTGACAGCCCTTGTGAAAAAGAAGCACACACAGCATATTTTAACTAAGAGTACAAATTAAGGAAATTTTATACTTAAGTGTGAACTGAATGTAATGTTATCAGACACTTAATTGCTTGTTATTTTCGGTTGAATTAAAATATATTATTACTTTAAGTTTATATTAAATGTAATTAGTTGAACTTTGGAGTGCTTTTATTGAACCACTTAAGTAGGACTTAAAACATCTTTATATGTAATTACATAATTTAATTTTCTTTGAAATATGGTTCCAAGTGTACTGCTGAATACTGACAAGCATTTATGACAGTGTTTCTCAACCCTGGTCCTGAGCGCCCCCCAGCACTGCACATTTTGTGTGTCTCCCTAATCAAACACACCTGATTCAACTCATTAGCTCATTAAAAGAAACTCCAGGAACTTAAATAGGTGTGTCAGATAAGAGAGACATACAAAATGTGCAGTGTGACCAGGGTTGAGAAACACTGATTTATGATAAACTAAAATATAATTGAATGTCATTTCTATTGAAACGTGTATGTGTTGTGTTTCAGTGTAATATTAAATAACACAGTTACAGTTAATAATCAAGTACTTTACATGTGCTTTAGTAGGTTAGTCAATACATCAAAATAAGCGTACTTCTTTAAAGCACAACAAAAGATTATTAAAAAAATGGTTTGAAGCGTACTTTAAAGTAAAACTTTTAATTTGACAATATTACAAAGTGCACTTTCAAAAGTGTACTTAAGTGTGTTAAGAAATGTGAAAGTGAACTCTCTTTAAGTACACTTAAGTGACCTTTTATTTCATTAAAATATATACCAGGGTTCCTCAAATCTTGCCCTGGAGGGCCAATGCGCTGCAGAGTTTAGCTCTAACCCTGATCAAACTCACCTACCTGTGATTTTCTAATGATCCCGAAGGCATTGATTAGCATGCTCAGGTGTGTTTGATTAGGGTTACAGCTAAACTCTGCAGGAAAGTGGATCCCGTGGGCCAGATTTGAGGATCCCTGATATATACTGTATATATACTTTTAAGATTTTAAGTACACTACAAGTGCACATTCAACAAGGGTGTCCTAGTTTCTAGTGATGAAATCATCATTAAGCAAAAATTACCATGGAAAAATAGTTTAGCATGGTATTGTTTTAAGGACCTTTCTTTCTGGTTGTTACTGCTATCCTTGCATTTGTTTTTCTTCACCTGCCTTCACACTTCTGTACTCAAAGACACACACACACCTGCGATATTGGCTACACGCAGTGCCTCCTGGCCCTTGGCGGTTTTGGAGCGGTTGGGATTGCGCTGCTTGTTGCCGCCCTGTGCGGAGCGGATGCTGCGGATGTGGACCTCTGTGGCTTTGAAGAAGGCCACCATGAAGGGTTGTTTGCTCTGGGGGCCACTGCGGCCCACCAGCCCCGCCACCCATGGGTTCACGCTCTGACCTGCAGGGGGAGACAGCACATACGGAGACACAATGCATCATTCATTTAAAATTAATTACTCATTTCTTTTCTCTCTGAGATCTGAGAGGACAGAATAACATCTTGAAATTGTTAGTGAAAATGATGACAGGTACAAATCCCAGAAGAGAAGTTATACAGGACCCTTGAAAGATGTTTTTCACCTGTGTAGCAGGAAGCAAACTTTTTCCATTTGTGTTTCTGCGAATCGTTTCTTAAGAGAGTTCCACACATCACTCAACGAGACAGTTTAGCTATCTTTAATTTTGTCAGAGCCCTGTGGCCTAATAAATCGTGTAATATGCATTATATAATATTCAGTTTGTGTCTTAGACGGTCACACAGTCTTATAAAACAAGAGAATTGTGTAAGAGAGTGTGTGTTTTCTCCAAGAATATGCTATTTCTGATGTTTATTTTGTGTAATCTCTCTCACTCTCAAGTGCACTTTTAGTTCCCTGTTTACTCAGAAAATTCCTGCACTTACATCTGTTTCGGTCTCTGTGCCATTCTGGACTCCTTTTACCTACACACCGGCTTTAAGTAGGTTTAGGGGTAGGGTTGGTGTAGGGCAATGGAATATACGGTCTGTACAGTAGAAAAACCATTACGCCTATGGGATGTCCCCACTTTTCACAAATTCACAAAAACAAACCTGTGTGTGTGTGTGTGTGTGTGTGTTTCCTGCAAAGAGGAAGGAATGCTCTCTCTGTCTCCACGCTGAGGTAAAGCCGGGTTGCCGGTTGCCTACGGCGACAGGGTAGGCGTCCCGCAAGCATGTCTCGACAAGCATGCTGATCTATGTGAGCCCCATAATACACTGCACCTGTTTTCATGCTAACACTTAAAACCTGTAACATCCTGTACACACACACACACCATCCTACTCACGTAGATTCAGTACAAAACACACTCCCACTGCGGCTGGCAATGAAGTATGTGAGTGAAAAACATAGTAGGTTCAATTCTGCAGTAGTTAGAACTTATTTAGGACATCCAGACCAAGCATTGATCTTAGACTAAACTACACTCTTAATAGTGATTTCTGCTGAAACTCCAGAGTAAGCATTAGTGATCAAAACATCTAGATTATGACAGATCAGTTCTGTGCATTATCTTGAATTAGTGGTCTTGAATCTCAAGGTTAGTTGATGAAGAGTCAGATCATTAGCACCTTTCTAGGTTCATTTGTGTACATTTGACTGGTTCTTCCTCTTTCAGATTATATATATACAGTGGGTTCTAAAGGTTTGAGACTACATTGAAATTCAATATAATTAATAATGAACATTTCAGATTCTGCATCATTTTTCATTTGATCAAATTGATCATGTTGATCTTTGTACAAATGGTCGATCATCTTCTATTGAAGCTGAAGACCCTCGTGAAAAAGAAGTGCACTTAGCTGTATTGTATGTACACTTGTAGTGTGCTTCAAATTTTAAAAGTATCTTTTTAAAAACTGTACTTGTAGATAATATAATATTAATGAAATAAAAAGCCACTTAAATGAATTTAAAGAGAGTTCACTTTTTATGACTGTTTCTTAACACACTTAAGTACACTTTTAAAAAGTGCACTTTATATAAAGTCAAATTAAAAGTTTTGCTTTAAAGTGCATTGTAAATTATTATGTTTTAATAATCTTTTGTTGTGCTTTAAAGAAGTACACTCATTTTGATGTGTTGAATAACATAAAACATGTAAAGTACTTGATTATAATTTTAAGTGTGCTATTTAAAGCTGCAGTCCGTAAGTTTTGCCTCGTTGTCGCCATCTCTGTTTGAAAGCCTGCAATTGCAGCTATTTGCGGAATTATCTTCCTTGCCTGGGTTGTGCAGTGGCTGCAAATCATCAGGTTTGACACAAACTTCATGCAGCTCAAGTGCTGCTGCCATTAAAGAAAAAGAGAGACAAACCAAAATTGTAAGATGTTATGAGATTCATGTTAATTTTGCAGGTCAACTTTTCACTCAATTTGTTATTTGGATTATATAATTTCTAATGACAACAACAACAATTAAAGGGATAGTTCACCCAAAAATGAAAATTACCCCATGATTTACTCACCCTCAAGCCATCAGTATATGATTTTCTTCTTTCAGACGAATACAATCAGAGTTATATTTATGAGTTATATAATGTCCTGGCTCTTCCAAGCTTTATAATGGCAGTGAATGGTGGTTGAGATTTTGAAGCAAAATAAAGTGATCAAGTACAGGCTGTATCAAGGCAAAAACTTCATCTTGAGTAGGATTGATTTTGTCAGAAAAAAGGTTAAGAATGTTTTCACACTCAAAAGGAGAGATCACCGATAAAGTCTTAACAGGAGGGTTTAAGACAGAATCAATAGTCGAGAGGAGCATTCTAGAACAGTGTGAGTTATTTACAATGATATCAGATAAAAATGTATGCTTAGCAGCCCTAACAGCCTTTTGGAAATTATGTAGGAAACATTCAGCCTTTTGAATGATACTTGAAGCCTATCTTTTTCCATGTACGTCCAACCCACCGTTCAACCTAATTTATGTATTAACCCCCCCGGAGCCATGTGGAGTACTTTTATGATGGATGGATGCACTTTATTGGACTTCAAAATCTCGACACCCATTCACTGCCATTATAAAGCTTGGAAGAGCTAGGACATTTTTTAATATAACTCCGATTGTATTCATCTAAAAAAAGAAAGTCATATACACTTAGGATGACTTGAGGGTGAGTAAATCATGGGGTAATTAAAATTTTTGGGTGAACTATCCCTTTAATTATGGAAAAAAACTACGCGTTAAAATTATTAACGCAGTTAACGCCCCCACCTTCAGACCTACGTAGGTCATCTTACATTTCATAAGGTGGATGTGTTCGACTTAAAGCTCTGCACAGACCAATCATTGTAAGACATTAAAGTACCTCGAGAGTGATTCGACACAGAACACACTAGCAACCCCCACAACACCTTAGCAACCTAACTGCAACACCCCAGCAACCACTCTAGCATCACGGCTGTATTTTTTTTCCCTGGGCAAGCACCACTTATTTTTTTTTCAAAAAAGAATAAAGATCTAGTTTAATATAGTCGCTGGATGAAAAAGAAAGCTTTGGAAATCTGGATTCAGGCAATTCAGCTAAACTAGTGGGCTCCAAGGTTTTCTAACACTCAGGCTAGACATACATTTGCCTGTTTGTGTGTGTGTGTGTATGTGTGGAAGACCTGCCAGTCACCCAGCAGTAGGAATCTTTGCGGCAGGTGCAGCTCAGACTCCCACAGCGTAATTCACGTCTGGGCTTAAGGTGTGATGGGGACTGGCAAACATGTACACACACACATACACTCTAATTACCAGCCTGACCTTGGTTAGGTTATTATGAGTACTTTCTACTGCAAGGAACGCTTTTCCCTGCAACTTTTCGTGTGTGTGTGTGTGTGTGTGTGTGTTTCCTGCAAAGAGGAAGGAATGCTCTCTCTGTCTCCACGCTGAGGTAAAGCCGGGTTGCCGGTTGCCTACGGCGACAGGGTAGGCGTCCCGCAAGCATGTCTCGACAAGCATGCTGATCTATGTGAGCCCCATAATACACTGCACCTGTTTTCATGCTAACACTTAAAACCTGTAACATCCTGTACACACACACACACCATCCTACTCACGTAGATTCAGTACAAAACACACTCCCACTGCGGCTGGCAATGAAGTATGTGAGTGAAAAACATAGTAGGTTCAAAACTTATTTAGGACATCCAGACCAAGCATTGATCTTAGACTAAACTACACTCTTAATAGTGATTTCTGCTGAAACTCCAGAGTAAGCATTAGTGATCAAAACATCTAGATTATGACAGATCAGTTCTGTGCATTATCTTGAATTAGTGGTCTTGAATCTCAAGGTTAGTTGATGAAGAGTCAGATCATTAGCACCTTTCTAGGTTCATTTGTGTACATTTGACTGGTTCTTCCTCTTTCAGATTATATATATACAGTGGGTTCTAAAGGTTTGAGACTACATTGAAATTCAATATAATTAATAAAGAACATTTCAGATTCTGCATCATTTTTCATTTGATCAAATTGATCATGTGGATCTTTGTACAAATGGTCGATCATCTTCTATTGAAGCTGAAGACCCTTGTGAAAAAGAAGTGCACTTAGCTGTATTGTATGTACACTTGTAGTGTGCTTCAAATTTTAAAAGTATCTTTTTAAAAACTGTACTTGTAGATAATATAATATTAATGAAATAAAAAGCCACTTAAATGAATTTAAAGAGAGTTCACTTTTTATGACTGTTTCTTAACACACTTAAGTACACTTTTAAAAAGTGCACTTTATATAAAGTCAAATTAAAAGTTTTGCTTTAAAGTGCATTGTAAATTATTATGTTTTAATAATCTTTTGTTGTGCTTTAAAGAAGTACACTCATTTTGATGTGTTGAATAACATAAAACATGTAAAGTACTTGATTATAATTTTAAGTGTGCTATTTAAAGCTGCAGTCCGTAAGTTTTGCCTCGTTGTCGCCATCTCTGTTTGAAAGCCTGCAATTGCAGCTATTTGCGGAATTATCTTCCTTGCCTGGGTTGTGCAGTGGCTGCAAATCATCAGGTTTGACACAAACTTCATGCAGCTCAAGTGCTGCTGCCATTAAAGAAAAAGAGAGACAAACCAAAATTGTAAGATGTTATGAGATTCATGTTAATTTTGCAGGTCAACTTTTCACTCAATTTGTTATTTGGATTATATAATTTCTAATGACAACAACAACAATTAAAGGGATAGTTCACCCAAAAATGGAAATTACCCCATGATTTACTCACCCTCAAGCCATCAGTATATGATTTTCTTCTTTCAGACGAATACAATCAGAGTTATATTTATGAGTTATATAATGTCCTGGCTCTTCCAAGCTTTATAATGGCAGTGAATGGTGGTTGAGATTTTGAAGCAAAATAAAGTGATCAAGTACAGGCTGTATCAAGGCAAAAACTTCATCTTGAGTAGGATTGATTTTGTCAGAAAAAAGGTTAAGAAAGTTTTCACACTCAAAAGGAGAGATCACCGATAAAGTCTTAACAGGAGGGTTTAAGACAGAATCAATAGTCGAGAGGAGCATTCTAGAACAGTGTGAGTTATTTACAATGATATCAGATAAAAATGTATGCTTAGCAGCCCTAACAGCCTTTTGGAAATTATGTAGGAAACATTCAGCCTTTTGAATGATACTTGAAGCCTATCTTTTTCCATGTACGTCCAACCCACCGTTCAACCTAATTTATGTATTAACCCCCCCGGAGCCATGTGGAGTACTTTTATGATGGATGGATGCACTTTATTGGACTTCAAAATCTCGACACCCATTCACTGCCATTATAAAGCTTGGAAGAGCTAGGACATTTTTTAATATAACTCCGATTGTATTCATCTAAAAAAAGAAAGTCATATACACTTAGGATGACTTGAGGGTGAGTAAATCATGGGGTAATTAAAATTTTTGGGTGAACTATCCCTTTAAATAGAAAAAAAAAAAAACCCGCATTATAGAAGCATTTCTCTAGTGGTCTCAGACTTTTGGACCCCACTGTAGATGTTTTCTTTGAATGGCCTGTAAATGCATTGTAATAAATTGCCCTTCAAAGACACTGTAAACATTTACTGAACTGAACTGCATTGAACTTAACGGCACACAAAAGCAAAGGCAAAACAAGCCGAGTGCTCTGCAGCATGGGCTAAGAAAGTCTCTGCAGTCTAAGCAGTCTCTGTCTGTGATGCAAGATGATATACTTGTTTCATATTTTGACCCCTGTGACCTGCGGCATGTGCACATTCACTTACCATTCAAACTTTCCAGAGCCAGCTGCAGGCCCAGATTCCTGCCCGGGTTCAGCACCCAGTGGTTACTGGTGGCTGTGATGTCGAACACCAGCCAACCCTCTTCTGCTGCCCAGATCACCCGCGAGTCCAACAGGAACAAATCTGAATCCCTGATGGAGAGAGAGCATATGAGCAAATGAGCATTTGCACAAGAGAAAAGTAGCATATTTATATTATATATGTCATTTCTTTTCAATGAAGATGTGGGATTTCAGTTCTTTAGCGGTGTCAGAACCAGAGTTATTACTCTTGTTAACTAAAACTAAAAGCATAAAAAATTGTTTGAAATAATATAAACATTAACTGAAATAAAATAAAATATAAAAATATGTAACTTAATTTATGTCCACTATAGTTGCCAAGGCAACATTTGTCATTTTAAGCTTAGTTTAAGTTATAATAAAATAAATAAACTAAAACTAGAAGATAAAACTTCATAAAAACGATATTGACATATAAAAAACTAATAAAATGAAAAAACACAAAATTACTTAAACTTAATTAATTAAAATTAAAACAAAAATATAATAATACAAATAACTAATTCAAAAACATTAACATAAAAATAATAACACAAAACAAATATAACAGTATATCAATAATATTAAAATAACACTCTATCAGTAACTTATATATATATATACTGTATATATTCATACACTGTAACTTCTAGTACCACAAAATGAATCCTAGATAATATACAGTACTAAATAAATTAAGCACATTAATTAATTCAACATATCAATAAAAACAGTTTTCATAATTACAGCAGAAACATCTTAGTGTATATGGAAGGGGAGCTTTGAATATTGTGTTAGGCCTTCGAGTCAAAAAGGTCAAAAATCAGAGGCATTCAGATGATGCTATCTTTCTTGTGTCAGTTGAACTGTATCCAGCTCTTTCCCCAAGGCCTTGAACTCCAAACTTTGTGTTTGTCAACCAAACACTTTAAGAAATGCCTCTGGGGTGATCTGTGGCCAGCTAACTGCTGCACTGTGTGTGCGAGCCAACAGAATCAGTGACAGATATCTAGAATGACATTCGTATCCAATCAAAGATGTAAAAGAGGTGAGAGATGGAAGGCAAGTGAAGTGAACCAAAAGAAAAATACAATCAGTGGCATCCTGATACAAAGAATGATATAAAGGTGTGACTTTTGAATTATCCTGTTCATACAACAGCTTACATGAGCAGCTTGAATACTGTCTGTATGAACAAAGAATACGGTCAAGCTCCTTTTCTACTCTCATAATAGCTGTGAACAACATCCGGTGACTTCCATACAGTAACACCACAGTCTTACAACAAAATTACATTTATCCAGGTCTAAAAACATATCTTATACCTGTTGATGAACTGCAAAAATTATGAAATGTTTCAGACTTTACCTTACTATATTTTTTCATATTTTAATAAACTAATTTTCATATTTTAATTAGAAATAAATATTTATATAGAATTAAAAACTCGATATAATTATTCATTAATTATATATTTTATATAATTTATATAAAAGTTGTACCCACAGGTTCTGCATAAAATGATTTTCAGTTGCATAACTTAAAAACTTAAAACTTTATTCTCATTCTTTTAGGATGTGAACACTTCTACCTTATAATGTTTTTATCTTATATTTTGTTTATTATATTACACAACTTTTTTATTTACTTTTTAAATTGTATTATATTATACAACTATTACACAACAAATTTTCAACTTTTTATTAAAAAATATTTAAATGGAAATAAAAACAATATTTATATATTATATTATATTATATTATATTATATTATATTATATTATATTATATTATATTATATTATATATAACCTTTCAACTCTGTCAAGCTCCTTTTCTACTCACATAATAGCAGTGAAAAACATCTGGTGACTTCCATACAGTAACGCCAAGTCTTACGACAAATGAAATGAATGAAAGCATCAAAGCAAATTAATCCAGGTCTAAAAACATATATTATGCTGATGAACTGAATTATGAAACGTATCAAACTTCGCCTTACTGCTTTAACAAATTTTCATGAACTCTTGATGTTGTACAGTAAACCACTGATAATTAAAAACGTAACTATTTGCGAGGCACTGATTGGAATGAGCCTTACAGTGAAAGATGGAGAAGGTGGCAGATAAAGTGAAACAGAGGGAAAGAGTGAATTAACTGTAGAAATGGGAGAGCGAGAAACAGAGCGCTTCACTCCAGATGGTAAGCCCTGGGGAGCACTTCATTTCCTTAATTGAAAATAATGGCTTTATAAACGGCTGTTGATCTCACAGTGTGGCTGCCCTGCACTAAATCAAACAGAGGAAATCAGAGCAAGACAAGACGACAGCGTAAGAACGAGACTGAAAGGCAGTATACAATGAAAGACAAGGGAATCGCTGCAGGGACAGAAAGCGGAACGACTGGAAGCTCATGAACACACTTCAGACGTTTCAGAGACTCCGAGCATTTCAGGTGCTCAATGTGTGTTCTCCAAACACCTGTTCTGCTCAACATCTGCTACCTCAGCCGAATCCAGTCTCATTTATCCCTCCATTTCTGTCTCTTTTCGCTCCCTGATGGGAGCACAATGGGGAGTGTTGTTACCCACAGACCTGTCGAGGCAACTGAGGCCTTCAGGAGGGGTCAAGCAGCACGTAGAAGGAGCTAGACGTTCTTGAACCCAATTCACAGCGCGGTTCACGCCGATATTCTAGAAGGTCCCGAACGTGCGGTGAAGGGAAGCCCTGTGGTGCACAACTGATTCTTTGAGAGGAGAGCCGCTGAGTCGGAATAGGAAACATGGTGTGGTGCAACAGTAAAGTTTGCATTGGGATGCTTAGATAGAGTGAGCATTGTGTGTGCGGCTAGAGGAAATAGAAGGAAACACAAATCAAATGCGTCCAGAGTTTACAGACCAGAGGGGTTGAGAGCATTACAGCCCTCAAGAGGAAAGGATTTTCCTTGGAAAAAAGTCACAGGCGAGAAACAGCCTCCATAAAAAATAGTAAAGTATACCCAGGCCCACAAGGAATCTGCAGACATTTTACATATTTTCGATGCTGATTTGGAGGGAAAATCTGCAGAGTTTTGTTGTTGATGTCAAAGGTTGTAAGTCCAATCACTTTTTCTAGTGCAAATTCATCTGTCACTTGATAGAAGCTAAACTAACTAGGTATGCCAACATGGACAGACAGAGTGGCTTGTCCACATCGTCAAAACATATGAACAAACCTACACAAGATAACACACATACACATACACAAATGACCCAGACTACGTATCTGGGTCTATCATGTACATGTTTTTTTGTTTTTTATGAATTATTTTTGCCATTTTTGTCTTGTACAGGACAGTAGAGACTGGACAATACGTATCAAGTTTCATGAAGTTTGGATGATAGGATCACAAGATATAGGCTAATTAGTCATTATGAGCCTCAGACAAAAACATATCAGCCTCTATCTGCTAAACAATTACATGAATCCTAATTCTTTTGATACATTTTTGTCAGGAGCATGTCTAAATGATACACACCAAATTTCGTGCAAATCGGATTAATGGCTTACTATAGGACGAGTCTAAAAAATGTTTTTAAAAACTCAATGGCGGAAAAGTTTACTTGTGAAAATGGATATGCATATATAATCAACTGATTTGGGGGCACTTTAGGATTCAGAAGACTGGAATTCTAGAGTTGTTAGCAAAAACATTTATAGATTGTCACACAATTTGGTGCACATACTCGTTTTCACACAATGTACAATTATATCCATTTTTGAAATGATTCAGATTCAACGTTATTAGGCAATGAAATCTGATTGGCTACTGGCGGACATTTTTTATGAGCACAATGGGGAGTGTTGTTACCCACAGACCTGTCGAGGCAACTGAGGCCTTCAGGAGGGGTCAAGCAGCACGTAGAAGGAGCTAGACGTTCTTGAACCCAATTCACAGCGCGGTTCACGCCGATATTCTAGAAGGTCCCGAACGTGCGGTGAAGGGAAGCCCTGTGGTGCACAACTGATTCTTTGAGAGGAGAGCCGCTGAGTCGGAATAGGAAACATGGTGTGGTGCAACAGTAAAGTTTGCATTGGGATGCTTAGATAGAGTGAGCATTGTGTGTGCGGCTAGAGGAAATAGAAGGAAACATAAATCAAATGCGTCCAGAGTTTACAGACCAGAGGGGTTGAGAGCATTACAGCCGTCAAGAGGAAAGGATTTTCCTTGGAAAAAAAGTCACAGGCGAGAAACAGCCACCATAAAAAATAGTAAAGTATACCCAGGCCCACAAGGAATCTGCAGACATTTTACATATTTTCGATGCTGATTTGGAGGGAAAATCTGCAGAGTTTTGTTGTTGATGTCAAAGGTTGTAAGTCCAATCACTTTTTCTAGTGCAAATTCATCTGTCACTTGATAGAAGCTAAACTAACTAGGTATGCCAACATGGACAGACAGAGTGGCTTGTCCACATCGTCAAAACATATGAACAAACCTACACAAGATAACACACATACACATACACAAATGACCCAGACTACGTATCTGGGTCTATCATGTACATGTTTTTTTGTTTTTTATGAATTATTTTTGCCATTTTTGTCTTGTACAGGACAGTAGAGACTGGACAATACGTATCAAGTTTCATGAAGTTTGGATGATAGGATCACAAGATATAGGCTAATTAGTCATTATGAGCCTCAGACAAAAACATATCAGCCTCTATCTGCTAAACAATTACATGAATCCTAATTCTTTTGATACATTTTTGTCAGGAGCATGTCTAAATGATACACACCAAATTTCGTGCAAATCGGATTAATGGCTTACTATAGGACGAGTCTAAAAAATGTTTTTAAAAACTCAATGGCGGAAAAGTTTACTTGTGAAAATGGATATGCATATATAATCAACTGATTTGGGGGCACTTTAGGATTCAGAAGACTGGAATTCTAGAGTTGTTAGCAAAAACATTTATAGATTGTCACACAATTTGGTGCACATACTCGTTTTCACACAATGTACAATTATATCCATTTTTGAAATGATTCAGATTCAACGTTATTAGGCAATGAAATCTGATTGGCTACTGGCGGACATTTTTTATGTAGCTGAGTCATATTAGAGGATATGTCAGGACGTCCACCAAAGAAGATGTATGCCATTATTTAACTTCTCCGATCAGATGGTTATGGTGTTACTAAGGATTTTTAGTTGCTGCAGTTTTGCAATTTTGGCGCAACTTTACATGCGTCCTCAAAGCCCTCTGGTCTATGTGCACAAAGATTTTTGTTAAGTTTAGACATTGCATTCAGGAGATAAAGGTCAATATGTAAAAAAAAATAAGTAACATCGTTTTGCCAGCAATGTCCCTAGCTAGTGTGTGCAAATTTTGGTGAAGATCTGGTGAACAGCCTGGAAGATAAAGTTCACAAAAATAAAAAAAATCTAAATAGCAGACAATTTTCATAGGCGGAAATAAAACTGCCAAGAACATTATTTTAAGATTTTGACCCAAGGATTCAGAGTAAAGAAAAACAGATTCTAGCCCCAATGATTCTAGAGTTAAAATAGAATATGCAAAGGACCTTTTTATAGTGCCACCTAGTGTCCGACAGATGTGTGTTTGCTTGCCTAAGAGCCCTAAATATAATTGATATTGTATATCCACGGTAGACAGTGTAGATGTACCTGTCCGAATGTTCTTCCAGCACCTGGTAGACACTGATGCGGAAGGTCTCATTGTCAAAGCGCTCTGGAATGAAGTCCTTGTAGATGCGGAACTCTGCAGCAGTCACCGCTTCACCCTCCGGAATCTTGGACAGGTCAAATCGGAATTCTCTGTGATGGCGCCTCATGGGCAAAAACTCCTTATCGTGTTCAACTGTATAAGACAAACAGTAAAAGAGAGGCATCCGTTTTATATCGGCACTTCAAAACAGTGTCAAAACGTTTCCACGGCAGTGAAAGGTTAGCTTGACATTCACACAATTAACTCAAATGTCACCCTCATTTGCACTATTGCTGCCCGCAGGCAAGTCAAGCCGCCCCTTTCTGGTTTTTCATGCATAAACACAGAGCACATTTCTAGACAGATGTTTGAACTCTCCAGAGCCACTGATTGAGACATAGTCCCGCAGACAGCTTTAAGTGTCTCTTTTTCTCAAGCCGTTTCTCTCTTTTTCACCATTCCCTCCATCATCTGGCCTCTGTGAGGCAGAAGGCATCTCTCACATTTTGTGAGCTTGGGATTGATTCAAACTGGCTGACCAAATTGTGTTTACATTTTATCATCGTGAAAACTGTCTGAATGGGGGTTTTTTTTCCAAAGAGGGCAGATTCTGACATTGAGCCTGGAGTGTTTTGGTAGCCAAAGAACTTGAATTAAAGGGATCGTTCAACCCAAAATGAGAATTCTGTCATTATTTACACACCCTCAAGCTGTTCCAAACCTGTATGAGTTTTTTTTTTTTTTCTTCTGTTGAACACAAAAGAAGATATTGTGAAGAAAGTTGGTAATCAAACAGTTGTCGGTAGCCATTGACTTCCATAGTGTTGAAAAAATACTATGGAAGCCAATGGCTACCGTCAACCAACAATCTTCAAACTATCTTCTTTTGTACTCAACATAAGAAAGAAAGAAATGAAAAGAAGAAAGAGACTGAAGTGCGTTTAGTTGACCAGTCTTTTCTTTCCAAACATTACAGGAATGGAAGAAATTGCAAGTAATCAAACACTGATTACAAAGGAATAAACATGGTAGTAAGAACTATTCCCTTGTGCATGTTTATTAATGACAGTCAAGAAAAAAAAGTCCATGTCAATTTTTTTGTATTCTTCTGGTGCCACATAATAACCTTTTCTGCTTGATATGCTGTACAGTAAGTGGGCTTAATGTATTTGGTGTGCAATGTGTTCACTGTACACGCACAGTAATATTTCAGATACACAATAAGAAAACATATGAAGAACATATGTCTACAAAGTGTTGAACTCTCACTTTTCAGTGATTGATAAGCTCTGTCAGGGACTGAAGATAGCTCTCTGTGTGTCTCTCTGGCTCTTGTTCTGTCTTTTATCACTGTGTGAGAGTGTTACACACACACACACACACACAGGCACAGACAATAGCAGCCTTGTTGACTCTTCAGTCAGTGCATCAGAGCCAGTGAGAGCAGCTGTCATCCTCATACCTCTACTGAGAGCCGTGAATCATGGTCTGAAGAGACTCCACTGTGTGAAAATGAAGCTGTATGTTTCTCTTTAGTAATTCTACACAGTGAGTTCCAGACTCTGTGATCTGATCTGGTGGTTCTCAGCTGGTTTTGCTTCAGGATCAAGATTTTACATCGATCATCAAGTGATGACCCAGCACCCAGCAAGTTATTAGAAATGTCATTTTAATATGGTTTTATTGTTTTAATATGGTTTAAAAAACATATACCATTTGTTTAAATGTCATGTGATATGGTATAACCAAGGAAAAACTTAACGTAATAATGTAACATTTTCCTTACAGAATTGAATTTATGCGTGTGTTAACAATAATGTTCATATTGAACAAATTCAAGAAAATTACAAATATTTTAAGGTGACATTTTTTTAGAAATATCATGAATTATTCATTCATTTCACCATATGACATTTTACATCCAGAACTAATATTGCCTTGTCCAAAAAAGCTCAAATTACCTCATATTTCAAGAGATTTATTGATCTTGACACACACAGCCATGAAGGTCTGCAGGGGTCATATCATTTAATTAATATGTTATATATTTACATATAATTTCCTGTTTGATGTTTGTTTTCTGTATCCTTCTGCATGTTGGCCAACTTTGACTTTGAACATGACTTTGCTGGCTGCACCACTTGAAACATTTTTCAAATATGATTAGCAACGAAGCAGTTTCGTTAAAAGGCAGGATTAAAAGACATAATAATAACATAAATAATAATAATAATAATTACCAGACTACTTAATAAGGTTTTTCTTTTTAAGAATTTAAGAATTCATTTAAATGAGTTTTTCTTCATTTTTCATCCTCATTCTTCTGCAGAAATTAAAGACATGTTAACCATATGTGTATTCATGTCACTGTACTGTATACTATATGATTTTAATAAATTAAAAGAGCAAAAGAATAAATGAGCTGTCACTGATGACCGATGTCACTGACCCATTTCTACAAACTAAACAAAAAAAATGAAATGTTAAAATCACACACTGGCATTTATTTGCATCTAATTTATAATAATACAATGAAAAACCTACAAAGAAAAAAAAAAGCTCAAACTAATTGAGGAGAGAGGCAGAGGTTAACTTAGTCCACACACCGCCTTTGATATCAAAAACAAACGTGTCCTTTTCAGATAAGTCTGTTTTGCTATCCTACCTATGCATTCATTTATTGCGGCCCTTTATTTACATTTCAGATGCTATTTCCCTGATGTTTGTGACAAAACAGACCACTAATTTCAGCTCATCACCCACCAGTTGTTAAGCACTATTCTCTGCTCACCTCATTTATCCTCAGTGACTTTCTATCCCTGCATCCCTTTCTCTCATGTCCTCCTCCAGATCCTTTCAGATCCTTTTCCACCCATCCTTTGCCCTCTTCGGCCACCACTACCTTTCCTCATCCTCCTTTCATAGCGCCTTTAGAAGGGCAGCAAACAGCACAAAGGCCCTACTGTGCAGTAAGGTGAAAGAGAGCGAGGCAGAGCGCGCACGGATCCGGTTACCCAGCAGTGACGATTAGCAGGGGGCATTCCGTGTCTCATTGTCCCGCTCTTCTCAGAGGACTGGAATTGTTTACACACCGTTCTAATTCAGAGCTGCCCTTCCATTGAACCCCCTGGGTGCCCCCTCACAGGGCAGACGCAACACCAGGGCCACCTGTGCCCGCTTGGCACACAGCGACGCCTCTCACAGAGACACCCAGACCTCTACAGCAGCTCTAAAAGCTCCATAACAATGATGCTTCTTTCTTATTATGCAATACTTCATGGGTTCAAAGCCAGAAGAAAACAAACACTGTATAGAGTTATTGCGCATCTGACAGCTGCACTAACCTGTATCATTCAACACATGCAGAAATGGATTCTGCAATTGGATTTACACATTTCCCATAGTTCATTAGTTCACACCTACAAAAAGTTTCATAAATCATTCTAAAGGCCCGTTCACACCAAGGATGATAGCTATAATTTGAAATAAAAAGTTGCGTTAAAAAACGTTGACAGTCAGTCAGAATCCACTCGACTTTAAAGAGCTCGAGCATTTAACCCTAGTGCTATGCTAAAAATCCTTCACCTAATTTGGTGTCCACAGTCAAAAATGAGCGGCCTTTTAAAAACTGCTTAAAAATGTTCTATTATGCTCATCACCAAATCTTGGATTCAATTTTTTTTCAACTTGTTTTCTTTCAATCCGCACAGGTTTTTTTCTTCTTCTTCTTCTTCTTTTTGGAATTGACTGATTGTAGACTTAATTGATTTTTGAATGAAAAATGCATGATTTATGGATAATTTTAGCAACATTCATTTAAAACCTGAGGAGCATAAGCTCAGATGAATGAGGCTTACGATCAATCAGTTCCAAAAAATAATGACAAAACCATGCTAATTGAAAGCAAACAAGTTGATAAATAGATTGAATCCAATATTTGGTAATAATATAGCATAACAAGAAGATTTATAAGCAATTTTTTGTAGGCTGGATATTTTTGACTGGGAACACCACAAGTGAAAGTATGTTTACCGCCAAGCCATAGATCCAACAGGTGTTGGCCAAATGGGAAGAAATGGGTTCAGAAAATGTTGCAAGTTAAATCTGAACTCACTTTGCTCATCTGAGGCTACAGATCTAGCAGGTGCATGCAGATTTAAGCATCTTTTTAACCAACTAAGGAGCAGGGAAATATGATTGATGCATTCAAAAGTAAAAGTACAGTTAATTTACATGGCTAAAATTTGTATTTCTTCTTCCCTTTCTTCTTGCTTTCTTTATTTCCTTCTGAAGTCAACATCTAACTTGGGACTTTTCATTTTAATTGTGTATCAAAGCAACACTTTTTAACTGCTCTATCTCTGTTTTTCTCTCAGTCTCACACACACACACACACACACACACACACATCTCTCTCTTCCTTTTTCTCTCTGGCTCTCCCTGAGTCTTTCTGTACTTCTGTCAGGGAAGATCAAACGGTTTGCTCTAAGTGCTTTTCCATTTCTCTGTAGATTTAATTGATGATGTGCACCAAGCTGCCATTGCTTCACCCTTACACCATTTAAATATACCTCCAGGAATGTGCTTAAATGACAGACACACACACACACACACACACACACACACACACACTCCTGATAATGTAGACCAGAGCAATGACACCCATAGAGTCATGCTGCATACATGTGTACACCAATACAATCACCTCAATAAGCACTGGAACACACTTAAACCACAATTTCAAGTGTGATTTCATTGATAAGAAACAAACGGTTTCACATAAAATGAGTTTAAGTTTAAATGATAAAACACTAAATATATTGTTGTGATATTGTGGTTGTCGAATGCTGTGGGACATATTCATAGTTTTTATAATTAATGCTGCTTTCACATGCTATCTGTTATTTTCTGCTTCCCACTTCTGAAGTCATGATTATGAGCCACATTCAAGTGCTTTGTTTTCAAAAAGAATAAGAATCATGTGCGACACCAGGTTCATTCTTTTCTATTTCTTGGAGAAATCTTATTAGATCCAATTGTACAGAAGATATTTAGTCAATATCTAATGGATTTTGAATGAAATGTAGCATCCTTTTTAGTTGACAACCATATGTTACTTCTGCTATTGTATACATTTATCACATCTGGAATTT